TTGAAACGAAAAATATGTGAATTTTGGCATGTGGATTGTTTGTGTTGAATTGGTCAGTGAATGTCTAGTTTTTTAAAGTCCAGTTACAATGCAAGCACAAAAGGAGGCTCCACCCGAATTGCAATGCAAGGATAAATTCCTCCTCCAGAGTGTAGTTGTTCGCCCAGGCGTAACCACAGAGAATATCAAACCTGATATGGTACAATTTTTGCGATGCTTCTGTGTTTATTCTGCAATTAATTAACTGGGGTTATAAAGATTCGGTCTGAAAAGTAAGCTGTACGTGTGTTTTTCTGGTTTTTAGTTTAACAAGGAGTCGGGGAACCATGTTGAAGAATGCAAATTGAGAGTTTCCTATGTTCCACCCCCACAACCCCCTTCACCTGTGCGTGAGGGCTCAGAGGAAGGCTCCTCACCAAGGGCTTCATTGTCAGACAATGGGACTGTAAATCAGATTCCCGACTATAACAGCGTGAGTTTTTTGGATGTCCGCATGTTTTGATCCGAAAGATATATTCTTTTCGAGTTCTTAATGAATTTTACATAAAGGGATTATAAAAGTTCTAATTTATTTTAATGATTTTTTCAGATGTCAAGAGCATACGTTGACTCACTGGAGAACACGCCAGAGGTTATATCCTACATTTTTAGTATTTCTATCATTGACATTGTGCTTTATCTTCTGGATCTTTACTTATGGTTCTTGTGTCTGGATTTCCTTACCTTGACATAAGTTTGCTTCTTTGTGATTGCCAATTTACAACAGTTTTCTTTAGGTGTCATGCACTTATTTATCTTGCTCCATGCTCCCTATGACAGTAAAAAGTCTTGAGTATATACAAGGTTAATTTGTTTAGGTGTTCTCGTCTTTTCATAATGTTTTCATCCTATAATAGGTAGTTTATGAATACCCACTAGTCATTTCAAGTATGAACTCTGGAAATTAAAATGTGCAGATTGATCCATGTTAACAGTTGTTTCATGGTTTCGGCCTGGTAGTTAGGGAATGAGAATTTTTACACAGGATATGCTGTCAAGGTTTGAAATGTTTTGATGTGAAAATATATAATTTTTCTTACTAGGACTTTCTTTAGTAGAACATATTAATTGGATAAAGGTTGCTTTGTGCTCATGCTACATATGCTGGTGTTTGCATGTGCAAACAAACAAAAAACATTGTTCTGCTTGTTATTGTAAATGAATATGACTGATTTTTTTTTGGCAAGGAACACGGTAAATTAAGTCCGTAATGAAGTAACCAAAGAACCGCGTGTTTTTATTGGGACAAATCAGTAGTCATGCTTTGCACGTGCCTGAAAAATGGCCAACTTCATACAAACCTGCCCAAAAAAGGATTTTTTTTTCAAAAATATTGTTTGGATTTATGCTCTTTACATTTAATTGTTGATTGAGGAGACAAAATGAATGAGAGAAAAATTAAGATTATCTGGTTATAGTTAATAGTTTGTAGTTTATAAAAAGTTGTGCACATGTTACGTGGGTCTTATGAAAAAAAAAATGAAACTATTGAGTTTATTGATTTTTAGGATCTAACTTAGTTAGAGCCTTAGATCGCTGAAATTGTGGATGAATTAGTAACATGGTATATATTAGGTTGTGTTTCATAAAAAGTCTTCATTATTTATATCTACTAGAATAGGGACTAAATTTGCTTTGTTTTTGAAGAAGCAGTTTAGACAATGTGCTCACGACAACAACAAAAACTATTGCAGTACATCATGCCCTCTAATAATTAATATTTGGCATAAGTAACAAGTGCGACAACTCAAATTCTTAATGATTCGAGTAATACTAAAATTTAAATTAAACTTAAATAAAAGAATTGAAATGAATAAATAGGATTTTTATAAGAATAATTATGATTCAATGTTATTCATAATAAGGGTATTTTAAAGAAAATACGTTTGATATAAGGAACAAGGTTTAAAAAGGCGAAACTAAGTATTGAGGCGGTTTTTCTTTATGAGGCGAGGCGTAAGCCTCGTGGCGGATTGAGGCACAAGCCTCACAAAAAAAAAATCTAAGTAAAAGAATTATAAAATAATACAAAAATACAAAAAAATAAAAATTGGAGCATATAGTAAATAAGATATATAGCCATTAGCATATTGAGATATAGTCCACCTAAAGAAAGAAGATGTTTAGTAAAATAAAAAGCATTATACAAGTTAGAAATCACTCAATTTGCAATGAAAAAAGAAGCATCTTAAACTACAAAAAAAACTAATTGCATGCAATATTTACTGAACTCTAAGAAGAAAAAGAAAAAGAAA